AACCCAACAAGAAATCCATTGCATGATCAAGGTACTGTCGTATACTCAACAATGGTTATTTTCCGCAATATATGCTAGCACCAATTATTATGATCGAAATATTTTATGGCAAAATATTAGATGCATAAATGATAATTTTACTGGCCCTTGGATTTTGGGTGGGGATTTTAATGAAATTATCTCTGCGGGTGATAAATTTGGTGGGAGACCCATTAATTTAAATAGGTCCCAACATTTTCTGGATTGTATAAATTACTGTCAATTTGCTGATTTAGGATACAAAGGGAGCCGGTATACGTGGACTAATAATCGTAGACTAGGTAATCATATTATGGAATGATTAGACATATTGATGGCTAATTATGAATGGGTTAATTTATTTCCAAACTCTTTAGTCACACACCTCCCACGCACTCACTCCGATCATTGTCCTTTATTACTCCAACTCAATTGTTGTACTTATTCACAAAAGAAAGCCCTCTGGTTTGAAACCATCTGGGCTTCTCACCCCGAATTTCGCTCCCTTATCCAATCTGTTTGGAATGCCCACCCTCATCTACTTCCTACCTACAAAATTTCACTGACACCGTTCAAGTTTGGAACAGAACTCACTTTGGCAATATTTTTAAAAAGAAAAAACATATTTTAAGTAGACTAGCAGGCATTCAAGCGTTCGTTAAATACCCTACTAGTTCTTTCCTATAAAACCTCGAACAAGATCTAATTTCTGATTACAACGTCATACTCCAGTAGGAGGAAGACTTCTGGAAGTAAAATCACGCATCACCTAGCTTAACCAAGGAGATGCTAATACAAAGTTCTTTCACCTCTCCACTATCCAACGACGTCGACGAAATAAAATAACTACCGTCCAAGACAATGGAGGGAATTGGATTTGTTAGCCCATTTATATAATGGATGATTTCCAACAACTTTTCACTACAAACTTAACTTGCTCCAGTAACTCCTACTCCCTAGCCCCACACAACACCCTCTCCTAAGAGGCTCAAAATCTTCTCTTACTACCCGTTAAAGACATTGAAATCCTTGAAGCTCTAAACTCCTTTCAACCATTAAAGGCCTCTGGCCCTGATGGGCTCCATCCTTATTTTTATCAGCATTATTGGGCAGATATCAAGCATTCAGTCATCTTCTTTTGCCAATTTTTTTTAAAGATCATGCTATCCCCACAGAAATCAATACTTCGTATCTTTGCTTCATTCCTAAGAACAAGAATGCAGCCTCCATCACCCAATATCGTCCTATTAGTTTATGTAATACTATTTAAAAATTATTACCAAAATTATCGTTAACCGTATGAAGCCACTTTTACACAACCTAATCCACCGTACTCAAACCAGTTTCTAAAAAAATAGAAGAGCATCAGATAATGCTATTATTGTTCAGGAAATTCTCCTTAAATTTCAACGTATGAAAGGCCGAGTTCCGCACATGCTTCTACAATTAGATATTGAAAAGGCTTTTGACAAGCTTGAATGGTCCTTTTTATGCCATGCCCTTCTTCAACTACACTTTCCAGCTCCCTTTGTTCAATTAATCATGTCTTGCGTCTCCACATCTTCCATATCTGTCCTCCACAATGGAAGCCCTACAGAATTTTTCCAACCTACAAGAGGTATCAGACAAGGTGACCCCTTGTCACCTTAGCTCTTTATACTATCCATGGAAGTACTATCCCACAGCATCAACTCCGCTGTGACTATCAACTCTGGTCCCCTATACAACTGTCTAGAGGAGGACTGCATATTTCCCACCTCTTCTTTGCAGATGCTATCATCCTCACCTCCAAAATCACGACCAAAAGTTGTCATGCTATAATAGATACCTTAAACAATTTTAATGCCCTCTCAGGACAATCCATTAATTTCACTAAGTCAAAAAATTTCTTCTCTAGAAATTGTACAACTCCAGATAAGCAGTTTATACTTCATAGTTTCGCCATGACTGAAGGTCGCCACTTTGGGAGATATTTGGCTTCCCCATTTTTCAACACCGCCCCACTAAAAATGACTTCCAATTCCTCCTTGACAATTGCACGTATAGCAGGATGAAAATCTAGCCACCTTACTATGGCTGGACGAACGACCCTCATTCGCTCCACACTCAACACACTACCCAATCACATTATGCAATACATCTCCATCCCTAAACATATCTGCTCCAAGTTAAACTGTTCCCAACGTAATTTTTTATGGGGTACCACTCAACAAAAAAGGAAACTTCATTTAATCAAATGGGCCAAAATCACACTTCCTAAGTCAAATGGAGGTCTTGGCATTCAACGATTAGATACTAAAAACAAGTCCCTCCATGCAAGTCTTGCATGGAGACTTTTTCACAATCCTACCCAATTATGGGCACATATCCTTTTCTCAAAATATAAATCTGCACCCACGGCCCAAAGTTCTTTTATCTGGAAGAACATTCAAAAAGGATGGTCCGTCTGTCAACTGGGCTACCAATGGAGAATCGCCACGGGGAGCCACATAAAATTCTGGCAAGATCCTTGGATCAAAGCAAATACCACTCTTCGATCTCTAATCTTTGGGCTATTACTGCCTCACGAAGATTCCTCCTCTGTATCCGGCTATACCTCTAATGCATCATGGCATCTCAATAACGTCTCATTCTATTTCCCTGACCACATTATACAACAGATCAACCACATCTACTTACCCCAAACGACCCAGCATTTTGACCAAATACATTGAACCCTCACAAGCAATGGTAGATTTTCGGTTAGATCAAGCTATCACTCGCTCCTTCCATCTGCACCTATACCTACCTTCAAATGGCTGTGGCGAATGCATTTGCCAACAAAATTACTACATTTCCTCTGGCTTTGCTACCATGACCGACTACCCACGAATAATTATCTTGCCTCCCTTTCTATCACCAGCTCCCCATCTGCCAAATCTGCCACCTAGCCCCGGAAACAGCACAACATATCTTCTTTCAATACCCAAAGACCCAGCCACTTTGGAAATAATTACGCCTGTTCACAATAATCTCTACTGTCAACAACCAGTATCATGACCACTCTCATTGGGCCTGCCACTTTTACGGCTCCCCATTGGTACATGCCCTAATAACATACCTCCTCCAATCGTTGCCTCCTTTACTCTCTGGAATATCTGGCTCCATTGCAACCAGACCATCTTCCAACTTATCAATAATTCCATTAGTTTGCCTATAATAATAGATAAGGCATCGAAATACTATTTACTTACAAATGCGTCCCAGCAAAAGCCTTCAAAAATCCCGTTATCTGTAAAATAGCACCCTCCACCCCTAGGATTCTACAAACTCAATGTGGATGGCTCTTACGATAGTGGTCAATCTGGAATAGGAGAGTCTTTAGAAATCAATCGGGGCATTGGCAATTGGGATTTTCCAAAAATATACAGGCCACTTCATCAATTGCCATTGAATTGCATGCCTTATTGATAGGCCTACAGTTAGCACAACAACACAAATTGCTACCTCTATACATCGAGGTGGACGCGTCAGAGGTAATTAGTATCCTTACAAATAATCACCCCAGTTATGCTAATACAATTGATGATTGCAGGTCAATGATTTACATCTGGATGATCCAGTCATCCAACATGCAAACATGGAACAAAACTTTGTAGCAGATAGTCTAGCAAAATATGCGGCACGGCAACAACATGGAAGCAGCTTGGAGATTTTTGCAAACCCACCACCTTTTGTCATCCACCACTACCGAGCTGACTGCATAGGAACTACCACTATAAGATCTGTAAACGCCTGTATTTTTGAATCCCCCTTTGTAAATCCACCACAAGCGGTACTATCACCCTATAGCTTAACTTCTACTTTTGCTCACAACCTCCCCACTAGGGGAGTAGAAACTAGTTCTATGTCTCTTGCTACTTGTAATGGCAGTATTACGGGGGAGCCCACTGTGCCTCCCACCCCCTGTATGCTTCCTACTTAATGCAATAGATTCTGCTTTTAAACAAAAAAAAAAAAAGTAGAAGTAGCAGCGGCAGCAACATCATTAGTAGTGGTGTCAACAGATCTTTAAAACCGACTAAACCGACCGAACCGAATCATACCAAACCGATTATTAGATTTATTTTATAAAAGAACCGTAGGTTTTTATATAAACTTATAGTCGTACCGAATAATAGGGTAGGTTTCTAATTTTATAAAAATAAACCGAAAAAATACCGAATAAATTTATATATGAAAAATATATTTTATGTACTAAGTTTAAAACTAACAAAACATTAAGTTTTTTTTTTCTTGGGGTCTTGGGATTATGGAAATGGCTACAAGTCATGATCAAATAATTAGTAATATCCAAAGTCTCAACTTCAAAACCTATTATATCGAAATTAAATTAGTTTTAATATCTTGAGTAGCAAGCCACAAGATATTGGATATATTTTCTCCGGTATGATAGATTTCTCTTGTTGGATTAATCTATTAATAAGCTATATTTTTAAGTCCCAACTTGATTAGTATCTTTCCACTCGTCTGATTTATATTTCTCTTGTCTTTGATTAATTTGTCGCTACCATAGAATAGTGAGATGAATCTTTATTTTGGACATCTTTCATGTTTCTTTGATAATCAATTTGACAATACCAAAAAATATCTAGAGATATTTGCCAAAGTCCTATGCATGTAAACATTATTGCACTCTAACTTCGACTAACGACTCTTGCATGTTATTTTCAGAAAAAATATCGAACCATACTGAAACCGAGACGATTGGAGCGGTTCTAAAAAGTTTAATTTTAGTTATACAAAACGAAGTAACCGAAAATTTAGTATGGTATAAATTTTATAAAATAACCGACCGTATCGAAGCATTGACGCCTAATCATTAGGACGAGACTTAAAACTGGCTAGTATTTAAATAATTCTTAAAAATTGTATGTTGAGAGAAAAAAGAAGAAAAAGGAAAAAACGGCGTATAGTGTCCTATATAACAGATTATTTGACGTTGGCGCATAGTGTAGCCCTAAAAAACACAGCGAAACTGTGCAATAGAGGTTTAACCACAACAAAGCAAAAATGGGGAAGAAGAGAGAACGACTCACAAATCCAGAACCCTTTATTGAAGATGATGATTCCAAATCCAAAGCCTCCTCCAAAAAACGCTCCAAAGCTCCTAAATCCCACCAGCAGCAACAACAGGTAAAACCTTTTTTTTTGAATTAAGTTAATTTAGACGAAGTAGTTGGTGAACTGGTATTACGACACGTGCTGATTGGAAAATTGTTGATTATTTTTGTGTTGACAGGTTATATCGTCTAGCATGAGCTCAAAAATATTGAAGGAGGCATTACTTCAGCAGAAGGAGGTAGATGAAGAGGAGACTCGAGAGAGAAATCCTAACGCTCTAGTTTTCGATGAGGATGTTGTTGCAACTAAAGCTGTAGAGGAGGAAGACGACGACGACATTGATAATTTTGGTGGGTTCAACGAGACCCAAAGCCAATTTGGTGATTTGGAGGTAACCCCTCTTAAATTTTTTAGCTTGATACTTGCTAACATGGTTGATAAATGTTGTAGTAATTATTTATGTATCCTGTTATTACAATGCCTATATGAACTTCAATATTGTTTTTTCTATATCTGGTTGCAAATGATTGTTTACATAATATTTGCATGAGATGAAGTTTAATGGAGTAACATGGTCAGTGAGGATTCATATAGCCGACCCTAACTTGTGGTCAGAGAACATTCATACAGCAGAGCCAACTTGTTTGGAGTCTTATGTGACATTATTGATTATACTAGGATAGTTTGGGGATTCTGGGGTAGGTTGGCAGCAGCTTTTTGGGCGGCTTTACTTCTAAGGATAATGCAATAGATAGCTACAAGTTACTCCTGTGATGAATTCTCATGGGTTTTCAAACTCATTTCTAGCTACAACAGGAGCATTTTATCTGTTTAATACAGTAAGCTGAATTTTAACTGATATCTACCAAGAAAAATTTCAAATTTAAGTAATAGTAAACTCACTTCTTTTTTTTTTTTTTAGCTTCTCTTGGTATTAGTGTACAATCATTAATGACCTTATGGTTTTTATTTCCTTTTTGTGTTACAGGATCAGGTTAATGAAGAGGAGGTGAGGCTAGTGGAGGCTTTTCTGTCTGCAGATAATCGCCCCGAGCTCACATTGGCCGACATCATTATCGGAAAGCTCAAGGAAAAAGATGCTCAAGTTTCTTCAGGTTTTATTCTCATTCACTTTAGAATGGAAAATAACTATCGCCATAGTTGACTTCTTTTGATTGTTCACGAGCAAGCCAAGCTTTAATTGCATTCGTTATTAAAAAAAAAAGAAGCAATTTGATGCCGTCTTGATGATGATAACTGATATAGTTTGTTTGCAGAAGTGCAACCAATGCCCAAACTGGATGACTCGATCATTGAGTTGTACAAAGGGTATGTTTTATTTCATGGTCGTTATTTATCTGTTCTTTATATGCAAACTTAGCATTAAAAACCTTGGCTGTCTGGCGGTGCTTGTTATGCAGTGTTGGCAAACATCTTAGCAAATACACTTCAGGAAAGATGCCTAAAGCGTTCAAACACATTCCTTCGTTACAATATTGGGAAGACGTTCTATATTTAACAGAACCTGAGAAATGGTCACCAAATGCAATGTACCAAGCCACAAGAATATTTGCTTCAAATTTGGGTGTCAAGAAGGCAGAGCGCTTTTACAAGTTTGTCTTGCTACCACGAGTTAGAGATGATATTCGCAAGAATAAGAGATTGCATTTTGCTCTGTATCAGTCTCTGAAGAAATCTCTTTATAAGCCTGCTGCCTTCAATAAGGGAATCTTGTTTCCTTTATGTGAGGTATATAACCATTGTGAAAGAATTCTTTAAACTGATTGGAGAATTGCAACTATATCCTAAGTTTTCAATTTCTTCTGTAGAAAATGACATTGTTTTGATTAGCTATATTCTCAAGATTGTCTGTTGATTGTTTAAGTGACGTGCTTTACAGTAAAGGTCGTGACACAGGGATATTGAAGAGGGTAGTGGGTTTTCCGTTTATCTACTTCTCTACTTTACTGATACTTTATTACTGCTCTGAGAAACTTCGTGATATCTGACGATACATGCGTGCTGAGAGTTTTGTTGTTTACCGGGAGTTACTCGAGAATTTGACATCCTTCTTCGTATATAGTTTTTTTTTCCATCAACAGAAGTTGTAAACTCGAGGGTAGATAGATTTATGCATTTTGTATCAGCTTTCTGTGTAGTGTACATTTATTTATCTGTCACTTCCGTGCCTTAGGCTTGTGAGTTCAGTTGCATTGTGAATTGTACACCTACGTCCTATAATAAGTTGAATAACATTCTCCCTCTCTGTAAACTATATAAATTTAGTCTTTGCTAAATTGGTATTCACAATTTCTGTATTTCTTATGCAGTTTGTCCATACATGCTTCTTCATGAATGTTGGAAGTCCTGTCTGTGTTTTTTTTTGAATTCGAGCATTAAGCCCCAACATTTTATCTTGATACTTCTGATTCCCCACATTGGTAGTCAGTAATATTTTCCCATTACATTTTTTAATCGCATTGCAAGTATGTCATTGCCTATGTGAACAACTGAACATCGTGCTCTGATCACAAATGTTGTTGGTATACCTAGCAGATTGGTAATAGCATGTATAGTAGTCTCGTCTCATGGCCATCCTGTATTAAGACATGACTTGAGTGTCTGATTTTAAGATCAGTGTTCTCAGATACTCCGATGTGCTTTTCACATCGTCAGCACTAGTGCATCTAATATGGTTCTATCCTCTGTAGTATCTCTTTGTATATATATGATGCTTATCCTGTGCTTTCTGAAATGTGTCTTTTCTGATCCAGTCAAGGACATGCACCTTGCGAGAGGCTGTCATCTTCGGCAGTGTTATTGAGAAGGTTTCTATTCCACATCTTCATGCTAGGTATGGCTGCTGGAAATGTTTATAATGATAACAGTGGCCTGTGCGTTTTTAGGGCTTCAAAAGAAGATGTTGTCATCATTGTTATACAGTGAGATTCTCATAGTTCTGCTGGGGGTCAGCCTATACATTTGTGAGAACCATTGAGAATTTTGCTAATCGTTCTCACCCTTCACCATTTATATGGTTGGCATAGTTATGTAGTAACAGTTTGTTTTTTTACCTGTTTATTTTATGATGATTGGGGTCACAAGCAATCTGGAAGAAATGTGTTCGGTTCAATGTGCAAGAAACTGAAATTCAATCAAGTACTAATAAAGAAGTCAAGCAACAAATATTTGCTACAAGTCTTTGCACTTTCCCTGATAGTGTCGTCCTTCCGTCCTAATAGTTGTAGTACATACACCTACAAATTGCTTGTTAATATGGGAACTGCTAGGTTAGTAAACTATTTTGTACTTTCTTGTATCATGGCTAAAAACTGTCTTTCCGGCACAAAACAAGCCTTGAATGAATACAAAAATAAGATCATTGCAAGTTGTGTATCGCCTCCATCCCACTTTAGTTCTATTATTTGAATTTGATGGTGGTCAATCTGACTGGCTTTTGGAGTGGAATTTTACTTCAATTCGTCAAAAGAAGAAAATAAGGGTAGGTGAATCGGTAAGTTTTAGTTCCAAAATGTTAGATACACTAAGTAATTCAATAACCAAATTCAGCTCAGGACAAGATTATGGACAGAAAGAGTACCTAACTTCTAAAACTTTTTTTTTTCTTGTTGCAAGTTCTTTTCATGCGTTGCAAGTGAGCACAGTTATTATCAAGCTATTGCTATTGTCACTGTAATACCTCATTCTTGGAAAAGTCTTTAACTTCATATCATTTTGGAATGCAGTGTGGCACTGCTGAAGCTTGCAGAGATGGAGTATTGTGGCACAACAAGGTATTCTACGTGTTGTACTTCCTTACCTCATGTTGCCTTACAGTTTTCAACGTGTTTCTTCTTGGTCCTTTCAGTAATAGCTACTGTTATGATCTCATAATATTCATATTTACTAAAGCATTTTGCTGATCTTATACATGGAAGCTAAAATTGTTTCTCAGTATATTATCACTTGATCAGTTGATTCCTACCACATGGCTATGCAAAAGAAAAAAGGGAGAAAAAAGAGAAGAGGTTTTAGGAATAGATTCTTGTTTTTCTCAAGATGTCTTGCATTGTGACATCCGAATATTCAATCATGATAAGTTTCTATGCATGCATAAATAAAACAGTTGCTTATCACAGTTAAATTTGAAGACTTCCTTTCTTATATGTGTCTGCAATCTTGCAATGGTGGAATAATCTTAGTTATTGGGTTGTTAAGGTTGGCACTAGACGTTAGCACATGCTTCACATGGGAATATCTGGTGAATTTTATATCTCTATTTTTGAAACTTTTTATTGTTGTGAACTTTTTCCTTTTGGTTACCCACGATTCAAGGCAGTAAAAAATTGTATACTACTATTGTAGATAGGAAAAAAGGCTTTTTTTTTGGGTTGCCTAAGACAGTTTAGTTTGTTTATGACAGACACACTGAGTTAATTGAGATAAGCATAACATGTTATGGTTGTCTGAATGATAGTATTAAAGTAGTGAGGACAGTGAATTGTTGGTGTATTGTTTGATCTTATTCACTTCATTAAGGAAATAATTTTAAAAAACATGATGATAACCACACCGCAGGGGAATTTTTGAAATAGTCTTATGGAAAAAAATAATCTCTTCAAATTGATATGGTTAAATAGTGAAACAATATCTGTTGCTAACTCCCTCTTTCAATAAATTTGGACTAGTTTGATCTAAAAATAAAAATGTATGTTTGAATAGAATATCAGGTTCAATTTTGGTAGATAAATGCTTATAATAATAGTTAATGTGAAAAAGGTTGAATAGTTTCTGTAACATTAAGTTTGTAGTAATATAAAGTAGCAATATTCTTTGTGAAATAGTAACCCGTAGCATATTTATACTGGTTACTATAAAGTAGCATTAGTTTATATTAGTCTGCATTCTTGGGGAAAAATTCTGTATTTAAACAAAGATGTCAAGCTTTTAGGGATGGACCTACAGGAAATAGTTGCTTTTATTGAGATCAAGGGGAGCTAAATTATATGGATGGATTTTTAAGTATCAGGATAATTTCAATCGTCCAAGTTGTGTAGGCTCATTTCAATGTTCCCCGTAAGAGTTTTTTTTCCGCGTCATTTAGTCTAATCAATTTTTTTCTTGCTTTTTGCTGCAGTTATTTTATCAAGTTACTAATTGAGAAGAAATACGCTTTGCCCTATCGTGTACTTGATGCCATGGTATCACACTTCATGAACTTTTTTGATGAAACAAGAGTCATGCCTGTGATCTGGCACCTGTCACTTCTTGTATTTGTGCAGAGGTTAGTTTCACCCTGTCATTACTTGTGGTATTTCTTCCTCTTCATGGTGGCAATATATTAAATTAAAATGGTAATAAGCTTTAAGGTTACATGTCATACTTAACCCATTGATAAGCTACCTGTTAGACTCATTTACACGTCTCGCCTTCTAATAATTGTTGTCTTTTCTCTCAAGTACCAGGATAATCATACATGCTTTGAATTTTTTTACCATTGTCCACAAGGATTGAAACTCCTATGTGAAGATATTATAACGAATTTATCAACAAAAAAAGGGCTATAAAATGACGAGTAGCAGCAATATCTTTTATATTAAGGAACAGATTTAACATCTTGCTTATTTCTAATGTATACTTCCCTGTGCCGTATGGCTGATACTGCATGACTTAAGTATATTTGAGGTTGACAAGTTTGCTGTCACTTGTTCTGGTGATGTATGTCCTTTTCTATCAATAGCACTTTACTAGTAACGTTGATCTTGCCTCAGTATTAGGTTCTTTCCTTTTTGCATTCTTGTCAATTTGTCCAAGAACATGATAGCTTTTGAAGAGATGAAATTTCTGAATATTGTTTATACTATGTGGGCAAAAATCGTTACAGGTACAAAACTGAGTTGAGGAAAGAGGACAAAGCTAACATAAGAGCACTTGTTGAAAGGCAAAGACATAGACTGGTATGCTTTTTGGATTTTATTTTCGTTGCTGTTATTCTGTTTTCTGTTGATGCAAGCAACATTCAAGTTATGTTTGTGCCTTCGGTGCAGATTACACCCGACATATTGAGGGAAATCGATAAGAGCAGAAGTCGGGGGGAAAAGGAGGATGATGCTATGTCAATTGATATCCTCTCATTGATGGTTTTAATCTTTCAGTTACATATCTGCTTGAGCTTAATTTGGTTTATTTGTGCTGTAACCTGCTATTTCCATATCATAGAGATATCTGTGAGTGTGCGTATCTGCATTGGTGGGATAATCACTAATGGTTCCCCTCAGATATTAACACCCC